GGTAAGAGAAACCATGAGAGGGAGGGACCCAGAGTCTGGAAGCAAGGGTGAGGAGGTCAGAACTAGGCAGCAAGTCAGGGCAGGAGCCTTGTCACATCAGCACTGAACATTCCAGTTACAGTCTCCTATTTAAGTCACTGGGAATATTTGTATGAAGGGGTTGGGAACATGCATAACTTTAAATATACAGGAAACCCTCACTATTTGCAGGTTCGACATTCACAGTTTCAAATATTCATGAATGCCGAACCCGCTTCATAGATTCATAGATGTTAGGGTTGGAAGGGACCTCAATTGATCATCGAGTCCGACCCCCTGCATAGGCAGGAAAGAGGGCTGGGTCTAGATGACCCCAGCTAGATGCATATCCAACCTCCTCTTGAAGACCCCCAAGGTGGGGGAGAGCACCACCTCCCTTGGGAGCCCATTCCAGACCTTGGCCACTCGAACTGTGAAGAAGTTCTTCCTAATGTCCAGTCTAAATCTGCTCTCTGCTAGCTTCTGGCTATTATTTCTTGTAACCCCCGGGGGCGCCTTGGTGAATAAAACCTCACCAATTCCCTCCTGTGCCCCCATGATGAACTTGTAGGCAGCCACAAGGTCGCCTCTCAACCTTCTCTTGCGGAGGCTGAAAAGGTCCAGGTTCTCTAGTCTCTCCTCGTAGGGCTTGGTCTGCAAGCCCTTAACCATACGAGTGGCCCTTCTCTGGACCCTCTCCAGGTTATCCGCATCCCTCTTGAAGTGCAGTGCCCAGAATTGCACGCTTCTTAAAGGAGTTCCTCGGGAGCTCTGCACTTGCCACTGCCAGACTCCTTCCACTGCCGCCGGGCTCCTTCTGCCATGCTCCCGCAGTCACCAGAGTAGTTGTGCCCCCTCCACCAGCTGCTGGGGGCACCGAGTTCATGAACACAGATGGCATTCATGAACGCAGTGCCTTATTTGTGGATTTTGCCATCATAGGGAATACAAGAACGTATCCCCCGTGAATGGCAAGGATGGCCTGTACCTTGCAATGCTAGAGTGGTGATAGGAGCTTATTTATATTTCACTGTAAGACACAGGCTAATAATAAATGTACACTTAATTTCTGAAAATAAATTGCAGTGTGGATCATTTCCATCAGAACATAGCAAATATGACAAAATATTATGACACAACATTTTATGGAGGCTGGAGATTAGTACTACAGTAAAAACTCTGTTATCCAGCATGAGTAGGGAATGGGGGGTGCCGGTAACCTAAAAATGATAGTTACTTAAGGCAGGGGTTTTCAGTTGGACATGGAGTGGGGAGAGGGAGATGGCAGTGGCGGCCTCAAGCAGAGTGGTGGCAGCGCAGGGTGGTGGGTGGCAACGGCAACCACCAAGTACGAGCTTCCCCGCCCCTTCATCCAGCTGGCCGGCCAGAAATTCCAGTTAGTAGAGAGTGCCAGTTACTAAAATGCCGGTTAACACAGCTTTTACTGTATATTCTCAGACACCTGTTGAAAATCTACCACCATCATACTGGAGTGCATGGAAGTGCCATGAAGTCCTTAAGCTTTATGTAAGTGGGGGGTGTTATTCCCCCATGAGAGCTCTTCTTAATGGTGAAGGCTCATACTTGACAGTGCTGGTAGGTTAATAAGGAACTAAAGGACTGTTGGGAATAAATATGTTAAAGGAATCCACCAATATACAATTCTATTTTATTAAGTAGGTAAACTCTGATAAAGTGCTCCACTGAAAGAAAACAACTGTATTTTTTTATTTCTTATTTCAAGTTAAATTTACTCCCTGTTTCATTCAGGATAAATTCCTGCAGTTAGCTTCACTTACTGTGGACTAGAAATAGACAAATTAAACAGCTACCCTGGACTTGGCTGCACTGCAGTCCGTCCATGCTCTGCTTATGGGCAATTGTTTTTAGACTGTTACCATGAATTGCATAGTTAGACCCTGCAGTCTACTAGGTACAATAAATATTTTCTTTTAGTTGGTTCCCCACTTGACAACAGAGTAATCATAATTAATAGTGCATCTGTATTCAAATGAGACCAGAATTATAAAATGTATAATTAATTAGACTGGTATTTGAACCATCTGTGTTGTTTTTCAGTTACCAAGCAATCACCCTTGCAGGAGGGATAGCATTAAAATGATATAATGTATATCCGAAGCTGCAGGTGAATTTATTCTTAATTTCACTGTCACTTATTTTGTATAAACCTGCTTTTAGCTTTCCAATATTTCATTCTACTTTATAATGAAAACTAGTGTTTATTGATGCATAAAAGAAAAAGTTAAGACCAGATTATTGAAACATTCTAAATAATCTTATGTTGGGAGCGGATATTATTATGCCATTTTTATACTGTTGGTCTTACATTTCCAGCTTTCTTTCCATACATCCTAATCTCAGGTCTCTTTGAATCGAAAGAGGGCTGTGTCAACCAATTTAGACTTTAGGAAGGACAAAGCAATTTATTACACTAGTGACACATTGTTTATCAAAGGTAACTCAATGCTATTAGCTCTTTGCACAGTGAGTGCTCCTAAGCAAGGGCACCTGTTGTATGGCATCAAAAGAAATCATTTCACATAACAATCAGGAAATTGGTGAAGGCTGGAATGGTAAATCTTGACTAAAAATGTATTATGTACAGAAGAAACTGTACCTGCATGAAACAATACAATGTACAAAGGATTCCAGTCAGAATACTCCCCCCGTTTCTGTACACTGCTTGCAACTGCAGGCAAGATTCTTACCATTTTCATTTTTGTACTATTCCTTGTCTGCTTATGTAACCCAGTTTGACAATACTCCAAATATGTAATTCTAGTCGTCTCTTATTTCCAAATCTAATTTAGATTTCTTAGGTGTTTTCCTTGTTTTATAGCTGTTTTTGGGATGATCATGTAATGGTTTCAAATGGTTTCAACAGTATGGTGTTCATAAATTCATAAAAACATATCAAATGCAAACAAATTGACAACAATGAAGAATGGTTCAGAACCTGCTGAAATCAATAGTCTTCTTTCTAGCATAAGGCTACCTGAAAAAAAACAAGCATTCTGACCAACTCAGTTAGAAAGGATGGGGCAATGGTGTTTGCAAATTTCCTCAGTATAGAGATTTCTCCAATACAAGTGTGCAAAGCAGTGATCCTCAACCCTGAATCAAGATTAGGTGGGTTCAACGCCTGTTACATACCTTTTATATAAATATACTAATGCCCTGCCCTCCGCCAAAAAGTACAATTGATTTCCAGTGGCAATTTATTTTCCAGGCTCAAGTATTGCCTTCCAGGATTCTATAAAAAGAATATATTGTGGGAACACGCTTTCCCTTTCCATTACATTGAGGCACAAAATTATTTATTTTTTAATCAATGGAGAATGTCTGAAACACCCCACTGGGGACATCTTGCCTTTCCTCTGCCTGGGTCAGAACAGAAAAGTTGTATCTAAGAGGTCCAGTCAAATAAAATCTTGGCATTTTCAAAATCTGGAGGTTTCTCATCGGGCCACTCAAAAGATGCTGTTATCAAGCAGAACAGATGCTATCCCTTTTAGTGTGTACATTTAAAAATGTTTCAACAATGAAGAGACAAAGGACTGCAGTTACATTTCTATGTAAAACTATGACTGCAGAATTCATTGTGTTATTTATACCAGCACAAAATGTGAATATCATAAATATCTTGCATTGTCAGTCACTTAATAAAATGTTGAAATCCTTTCTTTCATTCACATAAAAGAAATAAACAAAGAATAAATGAATGAAATAGCATAATGTTATTATTTTATGCAAATAGCAGCCTGATGAGATAGAAAAAACAAATCATCGCATATGCTAATAGTACTAAAAGGAGTAAACCATTTAATAAGACACAGATAAAACTACTTTTTATCATCTCAGAATAGCTGTATTGGCCTTGCATTTAAAGGCAACGGATATGCAACTCTTCTATTTCTTGTCACTCAATACCTGGGTTTCTATATAACTCAATATGGTTTAAGTCTAGTACAGATTCTTGCCTACATCATGCCAATAGCTTGCAATCACAAGTCTACATCTGTTAACGGACCTGTAATTTCTGCTCTGAAGAGCTGAGGAAAGAGCATCATCAGTGACAAATTCTTTGCTTGGGAGACCCTTACCCGATTCATTTAACAGAACTGGACATTATGCAAACCAATGTACAGTATTACTTTAGGTTTTTTACCCAAGTGCTTGCACTGAATGGTGGTCACAACAAAGAGAGATCTTTAATTTGTTAGTTGTTCCGCAGAAATACTTTGTATGTGTATGTGTATGTGTATAGACAAAGGTGATAACATGGGCCCATTATTTTACATAAATAAGGGACCAAAGTGAAAAATACATGGGAGGGTAAACTTCCTCTTGTGATCACATCTTGTCTCCAAAAGGGGCACTCTGAACCTATGGGTGGGAGAAAGGTCACCGTTCCCAGACTTTATGGGTTCAGAATATAAACCTATAGAATCTGAGCCATGCCTGGCAATAGACTTTCTATCCAAACAAAACTCTACACTGCCATTCCCTCCTAAGAGCTTTGCTGCTATTAGGTCCTCTTCCTCCTGTGCCTGCACTTCATCTCCTCTCTGAGGAAGCCAAAGCTAGAGAACGTAGTGAATGCTTCTTGGACTCATTCCCTCTTACGGTAAAACCCTCCCTGCTCTCAGAAATTTCATAAAAAGAAATATTTCAGTTTCAGTATGTAGTTAGAGGGAGGAAGTCACTGAGACAATCCCTCTCCTTTCTACATACCCTCTACACTTCCACTCCAGTTTGTCTTCTTTCTCTTTACCTATGAGAAAAGCTCCAAAAGGTATTATAAAATAAATTAAATAATTAAGTTAACAACAACACAAAAGAGAAAGAAAATCTAAACTAACTGCTACTGGAAAAACACCTTCTTACAGGTGAGCAGTGAAAATTTGATTTAGAACTGAATTCAGATTATAAATTAAACATGAAATGTAGTTCCCTCTTACCTTAAGGATCTTATCACCAGGCTGTAGCAGGTTGGATGCTGGTCCATCAGGCTGAACCCTAGTAACAAAGATACCCTATAAGTCAGAAGTAACAGAGGTTAGGATTCTATTATGAAGACCTAGGCTAAAGGTTTGTTTGATATTTTGTACTGTAAATGGAGGGACATCAGCAATGATCCCATGAACCATGGCAATGTAGTGTCTAAAAGATCCCATTCACCAAGTTGCAACAGTGGAGAAAATGCCAGTTACTTTTCAACTATAATTTAGAAACACACATCTCTAAGCAAGTCACTAAAATGATCAGTCCAGCTCCTACAGCAGGACATTGAACTATAAATATATTATAGTGTATTTTTATTTTTAATCATTTGGAACTCACCCAGTATTCAGCCTTACTGAATACACCTAGTAGAATTTACCTCAATTATCCGACAATCACTTAAAGATTTATTCAAACTATTTTTCCCCATTGGTAATTTTTATCCCATGACAAGTCTAAAAGCTTTATACGGATTTGCATAAACTGATGGAGACCAAAGACTACAGGTTCAAACTACAGTGAAATATTGTTCTATGAAGCAAGTACTTGGCTGTATGCATAAAATAAGCTTGCATAAAGAACATTACAGCTGACTCTTATTAAATATTGTCTAAAAGATCAATACAGTAATTTCCTGACATCCATCCAACCACTTGGTTAATTGTACTCTAATTTATGCAGGATGTTCCCTTATTTTAATTAGGGGAAAAAACATCCTTTTTCCGATTCAGTGACCATCACCCTTATTGCTTGTGAGATTGTTTTTTGTTTGGTTGGGGGTGTTATTTTTGCATTTTGTGTCTGATAAGCGAACAAATTCACAAAGGGGAAAAATATTAAATGAAAAAGATGATCTTGATTCAAGAATTTCAGAAAGGCAGGCACATTAAGGAAACCCAGCAATTGAAATGCAATTTCTAAGTAAGCATTGCATGAACACACTGCTTTTCCCTTTCTCTTGCTAAAATCCAAACACTTCTCTTTTTCTGTAATCCTTAACCCTTGTATTTACTGTGCATCCAAACCTTTTTCTGCCTATTTGGAACTGTAAGATTTTATGTTAAAGTTTCTGATTCAGATTGGTTATATTGTTGCCATTAAAACATGAAGAGTTTTTGTAATTATAATTTTACTTCCTGGTGAATCCACTGTAGATTTCAAGGATTTCCGTAGCTCATTGCCTTTTCTGTCTCAGGCAAAGTTCAGTCCGCTATTTCTACTTATCTCATTAACATAGTTAACTCTTTGACGGAAGGAAGATGTCTCTAGCTTGTCTTGTCTAGCATCTGGGCTATATATGATTGTACTTACAAGATGGATTCACAATACAGAACTGGTTCTCATGTTTTCTGCTACTTCTCTGTTCCTCCCATCCCTCATGAAATCTTCCGTTTTGTTATCTTTCCTCATCTGTCAGCCAGCAGTTTCTCTGGTTCTACCTAAATATTTTCATTAAGTTTGACTGACATCTTGGGGTCTTCTCTCTGTCATGCTTAGACATACACATTGTTAAACCTTCCTCTGCAGTTAGTCTAGGAACTGACCTTTGGGCAGTGCATACAAAGAGGAGATTGAACAGACCAGACTATTTTAAAAAATACTGTCCAGAAAGTAGGAAAAGAGTTAAGCACTAGGATACTGCTTCTGAATCCATGTTTTTGAAATCTAAGCAAGGTGCCCCTCATCCTACGATGTATATATTTCTCTAGTTTTTCACTCTTGGTGAAAGCACTTATTCAATCACTATAACGACACGGTGTTTTTAGAAAAGTGAATTAGTTGCACTAATGGTGAATTAGAAAGGGTGAATTAGTGCATCAAAGCATTAAGTTGTACTGTCTGCAAGTAGCATTCTCTTAAAAAATTAAGTATTCTTTTGAAAATAATTGCAGAACTGAGGTGCTCAAATCTTTATTTTTTAGGCTAGTTATCATCTAAATTTTGTCATAAATAGTGCTTTTTATAAGACAGGACAGGTTGTGATGAAACTTCAGGAAAGGTCCAGGACAGAATTTCTGGTCAAAATGACAGAGAAACAAGCCATCCAAGAACTGCCAATAACCTGGGACTCAGAGGCCTCCTCTTAGATGCAGAAGCCCCAAGATTCAAGTCCCTGCTTCTACTTCTGATTGAAACAAGGGATATAAACCTTGTTCTAGGGAAGTGTCCTAACCACCTATGTCTAGTTATTAGCTTTGTAAAGGGCTTGTATATATTTGGCAAGGAATTTTCTAGTAATTTTTTTCCTCATCTTTGATATAGCAGAACCATAGAAATGTGAGTTTTGCTTCCATTGGTATACAGTGGTTTTTCTATTTGATGTAGAGATAGAACTACTTAACAATTGAGACAGTGATTCTCAGACTTTACAGGCCTCTAGTGACACAGAATTCTTGATGATGGTCTAGATGGGGCAAAACTCTTCTTTGTTTCCAACTACTAAGTTACATTAGAACTATTTAAGTACTTTTATCTGACAGTAAAATATTTTAAGTCCTTTTATTTGCCAGTATTATTTGCTATAGTGAATGCAAATGGATGGGAAGTGCTTTGCAAGCCAAGGGAAGATGCAGCCCTTACTTCTGAAAATGTTTTTGCAATCCATGCATAAACAGCTAGTTTATCTGGGCATATAGTTGACAAGTTGAAACCCATTAAAATAGCTGCAAGATGCATATGAAACCAAGACATTAAAATAGAACAAGAAGAGGTCACTTGCTTACAATGGCTGATGGTTAGTGTCATTATAGATCCATCAGTCAAAGCACTCCTGAGACATCTGGTGATAACCCAAGAGTACATCTCATTTTCATTTGTATTTAATATAAAGATGAATATTTTTAGCTTGGTGATAAGTCCACTTGTAGACAGTAAAATACTGGTATAAAATATTTATATCCAGTTATTGTGATTGTAGGATTACAGTGTAGTTGAGCCCTGTTCTTGCTTTTAATATATTGTAAGTATACGAACCATGACAGAAGTATTTTAAAAAGCACTTAAAAGATCTGATGTAGCAGCATGGAAGAATTAAAGAGTAATCCTTTGGGGAAAAAAATAAAATAATTCATTCCTTTTGTGAAAACAAACAATACAGACATGGAATCATATCCCACAGTCTAGCTCTCTGTTTCACTGGTTTAACTGAAAATTTGGCTGCTAAACTCTTAGAAAGAAATGCATGTTTATAGTTTTGCTACATACTACTGCTACAGGATCAATCTACTCATGTAGACACATTCATGATGGAATGTGACTTCTTTTTTCAGTGAAAATATGAAGAATTTCAAATGTGAAAACAAGTGACAAGGTATTTAATTATAAGCCACATCAGGAAACGTAAAATAGAGTAATATTTACAATAGTTATAAATGAAACTGGAAAGAATACTCGACAATTCCTGAACCTTATGGCAGGATATCCAATACATTTTAGGTGCCATATGTTCACATATATATGCTATATGTTCAAATACATCGAGACTATAATGATCTACTCCCCGACATCCAAAATCAGAGATTAGTAATACAAAGTGACACAATTTGTGAGTTAACTAAAGGAATATTTTCAAAAGCATTTTGCGTGAACATCCATTCTGCTCTTAATTTTAGTGCAAACTGACAGGGAAATTATTTTTATAAATGTATTTGTGGATCTAAGATTTCACTTAAGGATTAAACAGAATAACAGGTTCAATCCGATTTGCTGAGCTTTCTGAACTTGGATTGTGAGGAGGTGTGAGGGTGCTGGTCAAATATCAAGAACGAACATACCATGTTTATAAGGTAAGAATCTGTAGTTTTCTATTAGTAACAAAGCTCAATTTATTTTAGTACAAATTACAGACTGATTCAGAGACAACTTTTTACTCCAGAGTATCTATACTTGATATAACCCTCAACTCTAAAGCATTCTTGTTCTCCTTTTGCTGACTAGAGTGTTTTCATGGTTTTGGAATACTTAAACTACACCTGCAGCAATTCCTGAGTTTTATCGGTGAAAAGCCTCAAATAACCAATTCCCAAAAGGTATATTAATTTATAGCATTCCAACAATTAGTAATCTGCCTGGAAGACAGATAAATTGCAAGGGGGAGGGGGAAGTGTGCGTGTGACATTTATTTCGGCTCCCTGCTCAAGACAGGATCATGCCTATTCAAGTCATCCCATACTCTTAAAAACTTCCGAGGATAAAGATTCCACAGCCACTCCAGGTAATCTGTTTAAATGCTTAACCACCCTCAGAGGGAGAAGTCCTTCTAATCTAAATTTCCCATGCTGCAATTTAAGTCCATTACTCCTTGTCTTATCTCCTATGGCCACAGAGAATAGCCTGTCACCATGCTTTTTATAACCACCTTTCAGGTATTTGAAGGCTGTTATTAAATGTCCCTTCAGTCTTCTCTTCTCCAGTCTAATATAATCCCAGTTCTTTCAACCTTTTCTCATAAATCATGCTTGCTAAACCTCTAATTAATTTTGTTGTAAAATACTATTGGATTTTAGAGACCCATCAGCTCTTGCTGATGTCAATGGACCATTTTTGAATAACTCCAATGAGAATTGGATAAAGACCTTACATTTTGTGAATAAATAGGTTACAACAATTTGAGGAAGTGTTTACATTTTCCAAACTACCGAATCTCGAAAGATTGATTTTATATAAGGAACAGAAACCAGCTACTTCATGCATTTTCTATTTTGATTACTTTTCTGTAATGAGAGTGAAAAATCCATTAACCAAAGCCACATATTGAATAAAGTTGTATACCAATGAACCCTATGAGAAAGTTACATTCTTATATCTGAGAACTTTGGCGCACTAAAATAAAAGCAAATAGTGACAAATGTATAACTTACCTTGTCAGAAGGTTTGAATGGATTTCCTTGTCCACTTATTCCACCACTTATACTAAATCCCAGGCCAGGATTCTTTTCTATTCTCACACAAAACTATGTTAAAAAGATATGGAAAGATAATCGAATGCCAACGTTAAAGAGAGTCTTCTAAACAGTTGTGTCCATTCCTGATAAATTTTCATTCATTATAAAATACCAGAGTTGTACAGTATAACAAAACATTAAAATTATTAATGCAATAAGGTATAAAAATGTGATATTTTTGTGGGTTTTGAGTCCATAATATTTATACATCTGTACTCATTTTCTGTACACATATTGCTCTCTTCCCCCTTTTTCACATACCTTTCTTGTTTCTCTTTCCAGAGCTAACAAGTAATTTTTAGTTGACAAAAAGTCGTACGTTGGCTAAATTTGCCACACACAACATGCATTGAGGTCAATGGGAACTACATGCATATGTATCTATGTGGGCAGATTTTAGACTTACTTATATGTTGAATTGAACTGCACTGTTAATTTTTCTCCCCCAGATCCTGTTTCACTGTATCCAGGTTTTTATAATAAAACATGACTTTAAAATCCTCTCCACAGTTGTGGTTAAGATGTCAAATGTCTCTATTCTGTATTCACAAATAGTCTAAGAAAAATCTTTAGCTTTAAGAGCAGGTTGATCCCCTTATTTAATATTGCACTTGCAGTCTTCTAGTTTGAGGTTTTCCAAACATCAGATCAACACATTAACTTGCTTTTTTATTATTTCTTGAAGACCTCAGAATATCTGCAGATTCCTTCATTATGTGGTTTTATCTTTTTTCATGCTTTTATTTCATTTTCTTTCAGTGTGTCTCTCTGATGATGGAATATGATACATATTTTCAATAATCTTAATAGCCTTTGTCCTTTCATATATTTTATTTTTTTTAGGAGTTGTGATTAGAAAGATGTCAGTATTCTTCAAGGAACTGTTGCCTCTTCTATTCTCACTTGAAGTGCTACACAGCTGAAGAATTTTTCTAGCAAGCAATATCTATTAGGTCACTCCTCCCTCCCCTATCGTTGCAGAGGACCTTGAGAGCATATCTAGACTTCCTGTGCACAACAGTGAAATCCTCACATACTCTGCTGCTCTGTATGCATTGCCTTCCCCCCCATCCCCCAGCTGAAGCAGTGCTACTGTGTCCGTGTAGTTTGGCACAGTCAACAGTGCTAACTACCTCACCTTCATCACCATACTGATGGAGCTACACTGCTTCCAGTTAGGGGTTGGGGGCAGCACATGACGAGCAGCAGAGCGTATTTGATGTAGTCCTTGACAGGGATGATTATTTTGCAATTTAGAGATGGTCTGAGAATACAATAGGGCAAGTGGTCCTAGCCATCCTTCAGTACCTTCCTTAATTTTAAGAATTATTCACCTAAGAGAGTCTGAAAGTGGGGGAAGCTGGCTGGGAGCTTGAATATATGCATGTTGGCACTCTCAAAGAAGAGCAATTACTCATATGTAACCACTTTTTCTTATGAATGGTCTTTGCATATTCCCATGTGTGGGAGATGAGCAAACACAATTGTCCAGAAGGATAGAGTGTTTTAGGTGGCAAAGAATTGCAAAAACTGCCAACTGTCAAATCCTGATGGCAATTAAGAGAGAGTTTTGAGTGAGCGGTTTTATTCTTTCACATAAGGTCCCTGTAAAGAAAAACAATCTTTTTCTAAAGTATAGAGAGGTCTACAAGAAACAGCTTTAAGTTCTATTAAAAAATCAGAAGGCTGGCATGATGAGATCAGAAGTCTGGCCTTGGAGTTGGCTAACAACCTTTGATGTACGTATGAACATCAGATAAATATGAATAGGTATGTAACAGAGATTTAAGGAAATACAACCACAATCTGTTCAAGATGGAAACAGAAATGATTTGAAACTAGGAAATGAGGATTTATGAGCAAAGACCAAGTCACATTTCCCACAGGGGCTATCATTTACAGATCACTGGCCATTTGTCCTGTACCTCATATCAAGCCTGGGCAGTGGGCATGAGAAATGTCCTCTTTTCAGGTATGTAGTTCAGATTATATTCAGATAAACAGTGGACTAGAGGCCCCAAACGCTTTGAGAAACAAGATCCTAATCTCACTAGAAGGAATACTTAATAGCGCAACTAAATAAACACATCGACCCATTCTTGTAGTAGTAACAGCCCAACCAAATATACTGCCAAAGAAATACAGATTCCCTTGGCACAGTCATGAAGACAAAGCAGGTATTTAAAGTCACAAACAAAGGTAACTACTAAGTGAATGACAATGCTGCCCCAGACATGTAAAGGGCTGAAGCTGAAATCTCAATCTCTGCCACTAGAAAGAGCTCATAATATAATCCCAAATGTTCAAAAATCTAGAAGTCAGAACAATACCTTAAGATGATTCAGGATCAAGTAATGATTCATACCACAGCCAGAAGATAAACATCCATTAATCTGGAAGCAATAGCAATTGAGGTCCCTTCCAACCCTAGCATCTATGAATGGATTTACCACATTCAATCCAAACTACCAAGACTCAATGATATCTATGGCAACTGTACAGCTGCAGCTCAACTGACCTGTGTACAATTTTACTGAACCACTAAAATTAAAGTGAGCATGCAGTTATTTAAGTGCTTTCATGAACACCATAGCTGAAGGCATACGTGGCAGGGAAGCCCCAATGGTCACTCAGTTCCTTTACAAATAAGCATCTCAAGTATTGGGATTTTAATTAAAAAAGATAAAAGACAGGTTCTGGTATTTGTCCACATCTATAAGATCTACAGTTCCTGAAGGGAAAGTAATTATTCTTTCATCTTTAGGAGACTGTCTACAGATTCCACTCTAGATGACTAATAAGCAGATATCTTAAATCTTTTAGGCAGAAGAAAGATGGAACCACGCTTAACCAAACCACTGGATGAAGACTCACAGAATCACAAAGTTGGAAAGAACCCTCAAGGGTCATCTTGTCCAACCCCCTGCACAAATGCTAGAATACCACTTCCAAATCATGCCTGTCCAATGCTTATCAAGCCTCTTCTTGATAACTTCCAAAAAACAGATTCCACAACTGCCTTGGCAGTTTGGCTTACTGTTTCAACAGTATACAAGATTTTCCTGATATCTAATCGAAATCTATTTTTCTGTGATTCAAAGCCATTTTTCCTGTCCTACCCTTCATAGCAAGGTCTTCCTTCTCTTTATGGCAGCCCTTTAGATTTTTAACAAGCACTATCATGTCTTAATTGTCTTTTCTGCAAGCTAAATATGCCTAGCTCTCAGTGCAAGGGTATGAGGGATAAGGGGGGATATAGCGTACTGAGGTGGCACCCACTACAGTAACACATGTTCCCTGTACCATTATTATGTTATAAAACTTGCAAACAATGGGCCAATTTGAGAGCAGCTATGAAAGAGTTCATACTGGACTGTACCCTCTTCTGTTTCCTGGCAGGGAGAGAGAAGCTGGCAATCATCTTGTAGTATACAGTGTCTTCATGAAAAAGTCATGACTGGAAAAATATTTTTGTCTACATTCTTCGAAAATAATGTGCTTCCTTTTTGGGGGGGCACATAAAAATATGCAAGCAAATGTGCAAGAAAATATAAATATGGCAACTACTTCAGGTGAATGGATTAAAGTATCTACCTACTGCTTTGTCTTCAATTGTGTCAACACTGCACTGCTAAATTAGGTCAACCCAGAGGGATCTCAATGGTATCATGCGTTAATGGTTCATAAACTTTAGTATCAAATTAAGTTTACATCACATCAATTTTATCTTTGGCCTCTGCAAAGTTTGTTGCAATCAATATTCGTACCCTACAGCATGGACTGGTGGGTCAAAGTCTCTTTCATAATCTGGAACTCTCTAATCTAGTGGATAGATACACTTGAAGGTTTAAAATAGAGTTCCAATCTTTGTGCCTCTCCCTATGAAGATCCTGGATCCCACCATGCAAAGATTAGGAGCTCATCATTACCAATGTACTCATCGCTGGTTTAACAGTGTCACACAATAGTGCCAGGTATGCAATGCCAAAACTAGCTCCACCAAGGGAAACCTCAGCAGTGCTTCCATGGGAGTAAGCATCAGCACCAAATGTAGGTCCCTCTGGAACAAAGCAGGGAGTGAGAACCTGGATATCACTTTGGCATGAAATAGGACATTTCTTATATGTGGAAGAACCTCGGTACTTTAATGCTGCTTCTGAGGTGCCATGGCAATGCCAGCATGCCAGCACTGATTAGCTGCCTGAGGGGAGTTGGTATTCCTGTGTCAAATTAGTGGGACCTGGAGATGTGGTACTATGTATTGCTGGAAGAAATCTGTAACTCTGGACACCAAAATGAGCAAACCTCAGGGGGACACAGATCTCTGGCAATACTAAACAGACAACACCAGGAAGGTAGATGCTGATGAAGTCGGACAAACAGACACATAGGCCAGGAGATATCCAAAGTTGATGCTGGAATTATCACTTCTTCATTCTTCTGGCTAAAGAAAACATGTGCTAACTGTTTAACCAGAAAGAAAGAAGCCCAAAAGAGAAAATAAAAGAAACTAGCCAGAAAAATGTTGAGGACCCTGCATATGATTTGATCCCCCTGTCCCTTCTGGGACTCAAAGGTAGCTCAAAGGTAGCTGGATTGTGTGTGCAATGGGGAAGACCAAATACGGACAATGGACACAGCTCACTGTAAACAAGCTTCAGCTCAAAGTTGAAAGGTATGCATGCCACAAATGGGAATGCAAGGCTTGAGGATGGTTACTGCAATACCGGAAAGCTTGCCTATGCCCATCTGAAGCATGCAGTTGGTTCAGTAAAAGATACCAGCAATGAGAATTCTTGTCTCTTGGACCCCCTCTATGCATGCAGGTAAAGCAGTGATGGGATCTAATGTGCGATGCACACAATTGCACTTCCTGCCATGCCACATGTGCGTGGCAGGAGGTGCAATTGTGAGATTGCACATTGGATCCTATTGTGCCTTATTGCCAGTGTAGAGGAAGCCCAATCCTGGACTCCTCTGGTGGCAGCAAGAAGCAAGCTTTCACTGCTAGGAGCCCGATGCAGCCCAGGTGAGGGGCTCCCAGGTATGGGGACACTTCCCAGGCACAGGGGCACCTCACGTGATCCTCCTGCCCCAGGGCTGCAGTGAAACCCCTAGGGATGAAGGATTGATGTCATCCTTTGGTGTTTCCCACACTCCTGGGGCTGGGGATTAACCCATGGTGATCCTTGGGCCCCAGGGTTTCCCACATTCAAGGGCCCTGGGGATCAAGACAGCCATGATCTCCAAATTCCAGGGTTTTCACACACCCCATAAACCTGGGGATTGCAGCAGCTGCAATCTCTGGGGCTCAGGGGTTTTATGCTGGACATGGTTCACCCCTGCAGCTGAAAGCCCTGTCAGCTGGTAGTGCTCCCAGCTGCAGAAAAGTCCCTACTACACGTGCAAATTAAAGCTCAATAGCAACCAGCTTTAAAGTTACCACATATTTTCAAGGTCCAACTTTATACCCGATTGGAGCTTTTTACTCTATGATAGCTACCTTGCAGATCGAAGTCCCGTGGTGAGGGGGGGGAGCAGGGTTGGGGCAAGGGCAGGGGAAGGTGCTGCCCAGCTGGGGCAGGGGCAGGGCATGGGACAGAGCTGCAACTTGTCCAGGGGGTGCAGAGTGGGGGCCAGTGCTGGGCTTTTCCCGGCAGGGGGAGGGGCACTGGGCCAGGCTGCATTCCAGGTAGGCAGCAGCAGCTCTGGGAGCAGGGCTATAGCAAATCTGGGGGGAGCTGTAGCCCCCCCATAACTCCCTCCCCCCCAGGAAGAGCTCAGAGCAGCCCTGGCCCCAGCCCACAGTAGCAGCCACAGCCCACCCTTGCCCCATACACAGATCCAGGGACACATGCCCCCCATGCCCTCCTGGGGTATGAGTAGCAGCAGAAGCTGTCCCCGCTCCCTGTACCCCCTGAACAAGCCACCTCTGTCCCACGCCCTGCCCCTGC